AATTTCCTCCTTTTTCTTTGTTAACCCTTTCATCCTGTGATACCTCAAGTAGTTAAATTCAGTGGATGTTCCATAAATGATTATGCAGCAAGGTGTAAAGACCATGCAAGCGAAATGAATCAAATGAAGGAGTTCTCAATCTCAAGCAGAAATCAGTGGCGGAAAATACAAATTAATGAATCGGTGCAATTTTGGATAAACCACTCTCACAAGTACAACTGTTAATTCTCTTTAGGTCATATGCAATTGAAATCTCATTCCACATAATGAATCTTTTCCTATCGGGCAAATTCTTCTTCTTACTTCCCAATTTTTTTGTCTTTCTTTCAACCAACCTCTTTATTTAGGAAGATGGAACCGATAGTGGAGTGTATTTGGATGTGAATATCATGTGGAAACATGGCCTCCCCAGTGTTGCAACCAAACATGCTCCAAAATCTTCATCAGTTGAGGCAGAAGCGGAAAAGGTGCGTTTTTTGATGTTCAGATAACTAAAAAAACTAACACCGATCGACACACACACACATTGACATCGATCTAACTGCAGCTTTAAATATTCCGGACGAATCTATCAGTTATCTCAGATCCCAGAAAAATCTTCCGCCACTCCTACGCGACCAGCAATCGTGCAAGAATTAGTGAAAATTCGGAAAGATAGCTCATCGAATGATTCGAATGATGACGTCTTCTCTCCTGTTTCTGTTAAAAGTTCCAAAATTCCATCGGTTACGGAGATCACACAAAAGGAAGGTGGAACGGAACGAGAAGAGTAAGCTCTTGCGACCACGTTGACAAATTTTTTAAAAAATTATAGTTCTGTTAAGTTTTCTTAAATTTGACAGTTTTAGCATTGAGACAGTGTCACTGAAGGATTCTTCACGAGCCTCAAATACTCCTATGGCACAGAGTACTGCACAAGAAGAAGAAGATCGAAAGTCGTTGCTGTCAAGCTCTCGTAGCGAAAATGAAAGTCTTGGTATTGGACGTTCGAGCTCATCCGAATCCGCAGCAAGTGTGCTTTCGCAAGGAGAAAGTAAGCATCGTTTCAGACATTGCTCATTTGAGTAAGCCGAAATTTAGGAGTACCACCAACTGTTGCTGCAAGTCAAAATTCAGACGACCTTACACCGAGAGCCCTATCAAAGCTAGAAAAGGACAAGAACGAATTAAGAACTCTTCTTGGCGATCTACCTCCCATTGCCAAGCCACGACTGTCAAAGGTGACATTTAAACTTTGTGAAAACGAAAATTGTTACCGGTAACGTGTCTTATGAATACGAAACAAAATTGTGTAATTGCGCGTTCAATCAGTTCCATAAAAGTCATTGAAAGTGTACTTTGAAATCTCAGGTTGTTTCCTTAGTTCTTCTAAAGGAAGCCATATTTTGAAAATACTGCTAAATGGAACGAGAACTTTCCCCATCTCAACTTGTAAGCTATCATATATTGAATTTTAGATCTTGACAAACTCTTTGGGCTTTCCTTCAGTGTTTCCTCAAATCCGACTGAAACTTTTCCCGGGAAAATCTTGCCGAAAGGTGAAAATATTGGAAAGTGGTGTAGAAGGGTCACGGCTATTTCGATCTCGAATAAAGACAGGCTGCAATGGGAAGAGAGCGAGAATTCTACGGGTCTGAAAATCAAAGGGATCTTAGTTTCACCTTCTGATTTCACTTTTCCTAATACTCACTTTACAACCGTCTCCGACACCTACCTATCAGATAATAACATATCCACAAGCCTGCTCTAAGGTTTGAGAAAGCATCTGCGCAAGGAA